CACAATCATCATGATCGTAATCATCATAGTCATAGTCACAATCGCAATCGTAATCATCATCATTATAATCGTAGTCGTTACAATCATAATCGTCATAATCGTGATCATAATCGTAGTCATCGTAATCGTAATCATCACAATCATAATCTTCATGATCGTAATCATGGTCGTGATCATAATCATAATCATGGTCGTAATCATCATAGTCATAATCGTCATAATCACAATCATAATCATCACAATCGTAATCATCGTAATCGCCATCATCATCATGATCATAATCATCGTGATCATAATCACAATCATAGTCGTGACCATAATCGCCATAGTCGTAGCCATAATCAATCACAATCATAGTCATGATCGTCGTAACCATAATCGTCATCGCCATCATCATCACCATCATCAACATAATCATCATCATCATGATCGTAGTCATGATCATCACAATCATCATATTCATAATCATCGTAATCATAATCATCATAATCATGATCGTCACAGTCGTGATCATAATCGTAATCATAACCACAATAATAGTCGCGATCATAATCATAATCATAATCATAGTCATCATAATCGATGGTAATCGTAATCATCATCAACTTAATAATCATGATCATAATCGTAATCGTGATTACCATAATCATCATAATCGTAATCATAATGATCGTAATCGTAATCATGATCATCATGGTCATAATCACGATCCTCGTAATCATAATCGTGATCGTCGTAATCATAGCCGTAATCATAATTTTCATAATCATTGTCGTCATGATCATAATCATCGTAGACGCAGTCATAGTCGTAATGATCATGATCATAATCAGAATCGTAATCATGATCATCACTATCACAATTGGTCATCCTAGTCATAATCATCGTAATCGTCATCATCATCATCATCATAATCATGATCATCACATTCATAATGATCATGATCATAGTCACCATAATCGCAATCATAATCATCGTGATCTATCACAATCATAATTCTCATAACCATGATCATCGTTATGCAGTCGTAATCATAATTATCATAAACATTATAATCATCATGATCATAATCATGGTAACCATCATGATCGCAATCGTGATCACCGCGATCATCATGATCATAATCATTATAATCACAATCGTAGTCATCATGGTCCCAATCACCATAATCGTAATCATAATCATCGTAATCATAATCGTCGTAATCGCAGTCGTAATCACAATTATCATAGTCACAGTCATGATAATCATAACCGTCGTAATCGTCATCGTAATCATAATCTTCGCAATCATCGTAATGATCATGATCATAATCATCGTTATCGCATTCATAATCATCGTAATCATTATCACAATCATAATTCCCATAACCATAATCATCGCAATCGCAATTATAATCACAATTATCATAATCTTCATGATCATCGTAATCATAATCATCATGGTCGTAGTCGTCATAATCATAATCGTAGTCGTAATCATCATCATCGCCATGATCGTCATCGTAATCATAATCAATCATAATCATCATCATCACAACCATTATCATAATCGCCATGATCGTAATCATGATCACCATAATGATCATAATCGTTATCATCATAATCATAATCACCACAATCGTAGTCATAATCATGATAATGGTAATCGTGTTCGCGACCATCATCATCATGATCATTATCATATTCGTAATCGTAATCATCATCGTCATCATCATAATGGTCATAATCATGACCATAACCACAGCCGTCACAATCATAACCATCATAACCGTAATCGTAATCATAACCATCATGATCATAATCATCGTAATCGTCGTCATCATCGTCATAATCATAATCATCATGATCATAATCGTAGTCGCCGTCATGGTCGTAATCACCATAATCATAACCAGAATCATAATCATAATCACGATCATCATTACCATAATCATGACCATAGTCAACCATGATCATCATAATCATAATCATAACCATGGTCAACCATAATCAATCACGATCGTGATCATCATAATCGTAATCATGATCATCACGACCATCATAATCATAGTCATTATTATCGTAATCGTAGTCGTCATAATCGTAGTCATCATAATCGCGATCATAATCAGAATCATCATAATCATGGTCATCACAATCACGACTATAATCATCGTGGTCATAATCAATCATATTTTTCGTAATCATCGTCATAACCGTGATCATAATCATCATAATCATGATCGTGATCATAATCATCATAACCATAGTCATAATCATCGTAATCGCAGTCATGATCATAATCACCATAGTCGTAATCATGATCATCATAATTGTCATAATCGTAATCACGATCATCATGATCATCATGGTTATAGTCA